ATCCTGTCCCATTTGCCAGCATTTGGCCCATATCCCTCTCAAACCTTCCTATCCATGCCCCTATGCTTTTAAATGTTGTCATTGTACCAGCCCCCACCACTTCCTCTGGCAGCTCGTTCCATACACGCACCACCCTCTGTGAAAAAGTTGCCTCTCAGGTGCCTTCCCCCCCCCCCACCTCACCTTAAACCTATGCCCCTCTAGTTTTGGACCCCACTACCCTGGGGAAAAGACCTCGGCTATTCACCCTATCCATGCCCCTCGTGATTTTATAAACTTCTATAAGGTCACCCCATCTCAGCCTCCGACGCTCCAGGGAAAATAGCCCCAGCCCATTCAGCCTCTCCCTGTAGCTCAAACCCTCCAACATCCCTGTAAATCTTTTCTGAACCCTTTCAAGTTTCACAACATTCTTCCTGTAGCAGGGAGACGGGGATTGAACGCAGTATTCCAAACGAGGGCTCACCAATACAGCAGCAACGTGACCTTCCCAATTCCTACACTCAATGCACTGACCAAGCGTCCCAAACCCCTTCCTCACCGCCCTGTCTACCTGCGACTCTACTTTCCAGGAACTATGTACCTGCACCCCTGCTCTCCCCATGCTCTCTCTGTTCAGCAACACTCCCCAGGACCTTACCATGAAGTATATAAGTCCTGACCTGGTTTGCCTTTCCCCAAAATGCAGCACCTCACATTTATCTAAATTAAACTCCATCTGCCACTTCTCGGCCCATTGGCCCATCTGATCAAGGTCCTGTTGTATTCTGAGGTAACCTCCTTCCCTGTCCCCTACACCTCCACTTTCGGTGTCATCTGCAAACTTAGTAACCATCCCTCCTATGTTCACATTCATCTTCCCTCAGCATCTGTAGAATTCTATATTGCAGACGGCTGTCGAGGCTGGGTCACGAGAACTCTGGCTCTCTCAGCCGTGAATATACTTAACCAGGAAGGGAATCGAGGGTTCTGGGGGAGAAGGCAAGAAAGTGAGGTTGAAGATGATCAGATCAGCCAAAAATCTCATTGAACAGCAGAGATAACTTGATGGGCTGAATGGCCTACTTCCGCTCCCAGTGTCTGATGGTCTTAGCTCGATCCAGGGACTGGTGTGACAATCCAGCCCTCCCACCTTCCTCATTGAGGTGGGGGGGGGGGGGGGGGGGGGGGGGGGTGGGGGTGGGGGTGGTGTTGGTGGGTGGTTGGGGGGGCGGTTATCTATACGGGGGTGGGGGGGGGGGGGAGGGGGAGGTTAGGCAATGAGTGAAATAGTTTACCTTCTCAGCTGCAGTGTCGATCAGAGACTGGTTGTAAAAGGAGCTAACAGCCTTGCACCGCTCCTTGGTCACCTCATGGTAATGCTGGTGGTGGTGGTGGTAATGATCGCTGGCCGATGTGGACCTCCATCGCGTAGAGCTCCGAGCAAGCAGGATCTTCAGGGAGGTCCGTGCCCAGCCTGCTGGTCCTCCTCCAACCCTCCTCATCATCATCATCATCATCATCTTCCCAACGTCCTGTCCAACCTAACCCTCGGTAAATCAGTGCCAGTTCTACGCAACACCAACCTGGGGTGGTCCCAGAGTTGACTGAAATCCACAAGTATTTGGGATTGACCCCACCCACGTACTCACTCTCAAATTTCCGGTTCCCACAGTCAAACCAACTCCCCAACCCTCAGGGTGGGGGCTGAACGAGAGACAAACCCTGAACCCAGGGATTCTACCAGCAAATTAACACCCACTCTCAAATCCTCTGGGATCCAGAGTGACCGACACAGCCCAAAACTGGAAGTTGAAGAATTAACCACAGACCCTGCTTACCCTCCAAAAAAAAAATCCCTGGAGATCCCACAGTCTAACCAAACCTGACGTTACAAGAATCAACACAACCCCTCCAAACCTGCAGGCTTAAGAACCAAGCCCAGAGCCTGGGGATACAAGGGTTAACGCAACACACTCCAATTCCTGCAGATACAGGGATCAACCCGAAGCCCCACAATCCTAGAGAATACAAGGATCCACTCAAACCACCGCCCCCACCAATCCTAGAGGATAGAGGTACCAACACAAACTCTGCAATCCTAGAGAATACAAGGATCAACCCAAATCCCCAATCCTGGGGCGGGGGGAGATACAAGGTCCGACCCTAAACCCCTGATCCTGGGGGGGGAATGCAACATCTGACCCTAAACCCCTAATCCTGGGGGGGGAATGCAAGTTCTGACCCTAAACCCCTAATCCTGGGGGGG